AAAGCAGGACTAAAGCAGGTCTAAAGCAGGACTAAAGCAGGACTAAAGCAGGTCTAAAACAGGTTTAAAGCAGGACTAAAGCAGGTCTAAAGCAGGACTAAAGCAGGACTAAAGCAGGACTAAAGCAGGTCTAAAGCAGGACTAAAGCAGGTCTAAAGCAGGTCTAAAGCAGGACTAAAGCAGGTCTAAAACAGGTCTAAAGCAGGACTAAAGCAGGACTAAAGCAGGACTAAAGCAGGACTAAAGCAGGACTAAAGCAGGTCTAAAGCAGGACTAAAGCAGGTCTAAAGCAGGACTAAAGCAGGTCTAAAGCAGGACTAAAGCAGGTCTAAAGCAGGACTAAAGCAGGACTAAAGCAGGTCTAAAGCAGGTCTAAAGCAGGACTAAAGCAGGTCTAAAGCAGGACTAAAGCAGGACTAAAGCAGGTCTAAAGCAGGACTAAAGCAGGTCTAAAGCAGGACTAAAGCAGGTCTAAAGCAGGACTAAAGCAGGTCTAAAGCAGGACTAAAGCAGGTCTAAAGCAGGGCTAAAGCAGGACTAAAGCAGGACTAAAGCAGGTCTAAAGCAGGTTTAAAGCAGGACTGAAGCAGGTTTAAAGCAGGGCTAAAGCAGGACTAAAGCAGGACTAAAGCAGGACTAAAGCAGGACTAAAGCAGGACTAAAGCAGGTCTAAAGCAGGACTAAAGCAGGTCTAAAGCAGGACTAAAGCAGGACTAAAGCAGGTCTAAAGCAGGACTAAAGCAGGTCTAAAGCAGGACTAAAGCAGGTCTAAAGCAGGACTAAAGCAGGTCTAAAGCAGGTCTAAAGCAGGACTAAAGCAGGTCTAAAGCAGGGCTAAAGCAGGACTAAAGCAGGTCTAAAGCAGGTCTAAAGCAGGACTAAAGCAGGACTAAAGCAGGTCTAAAGCAGGACTAAAGCAGGTCTAAAGCAGGACTAAAGCAGGACTAAAGCAGGTCTAAAACAGGTTTAAAGCAGGACTAAAGCAGGACTAAAGCAGGACTAAAGCAGGACTAAAGCAGGACTAAAGCAGGTCTAAAGCAGGACTAAAGCAGGACTAAAGCAGGACCCAGACTCACGTCGCAGGTGTCCTCCTTCTTGGGCCACTTGCTGCCTGGTTGGTTGTACACGTGATGTGCACAGAGCATGTTGTTGGTGTATCTAGACCCAAAGTAGTCGCTGCGAGCGCAGAGCATGGGGTTGACCACCTCCACCGTCAGCTCCTTCAGTTTGTCGGGGCGAGAGCCCAGGTTATCAGAAGCCCCCCACCCTGCAGTGTCGGCCGCCTGGTCTGTGCTGGGGTTAGTGCCCCCAGCACGAAGGAACCGGACCACCTGGACCGCACTGGTGATGTTGGCAGGACGGTCCAACTGGGAACACACATGTTCTGGTTTTATAAACTTTATTATTTACTGCTATAGGTTCATATTTTATTAACTGTTATAGGTTCATAGTTCATTAACTGTTATAGTTTTGCAAATATTGAGTGAAAGTTCAGAGGCAGAGACTGTTTGTCCATATTTCAGAGACTAGAACATATTTATTTCACTTGTTGTGGTTGTGTGAAGACACTTCTCGAGAAATGTACATGTTTTCTATTTTCAAATGACAATAACAATAGAAAGTACACTTCTGACCCTGATCAGAGGTTCACATCCCCTTGTTCTCTAGAGTGTTTGTTGCCCCATTACATGAAAGTGTGGAGTCTTTTGTTGTGGATTCATATGTCATTTTCTTCCCCTTAATCCATTTCTGGGTGGGGGGTGACAATCAGAGCTGCCCCAAGTCTCACAGCACCAGTTTCTCTGATCCTCTGCAGGGGGTGGGTCCACAGGAAGATGGCTTCTCCATCATCCACGACATGTCCTTGGTCTTTCAGCGGGGGCTTTAGGCAATGTGGGGTTAAGTGTCTTGCCCAGGGACACAATGACAGCAGACATCAGTGGGAGCAGGGGACATGGGTCGTAGTGGGCTCAAACCCATGACCATGAGGTACAGAGCCCACTACGGTACAGAGCAAAAGTGTGGACACCCTCTCTCTTTCACTGAGTTCTTTTCATGACCATTGGCGTAGACCCGCACCAGGCTGTGTAAGGGCTGTTTGACCAATAAGGAGAGAGACCATCTGAACCCAGTCCAGATGGTTTTGGACCTGAACCCAGTCCAGATGGTTTCGGGGCTGGACCACAGAGTGAAGGGGCCAACAAGTGCTAAGCATCATGGGAACTCCTTCAAGACTGTTGGAGACCGATTCAGGTCCTGTTGAAGCTCATCCAGAGAATGCCAAGATTGTTATTCTCACCTGCTCTCACTCTCTCACCTGCTCTCACTCTCTCACTCTCTCACTCTCTCACTCTGCTCTCACTCTCTCTCTCTCTCTCACTCTGCTCTCACTCTCTCACTCTGCTCTCACTCTCTCTTTCTCACTCTCTCACTCTGCTCTCTCTCTCTCTCTCTCACTCTCTCACCCTGCTCTCACTCTCTCACTCTGCTCTCTCTCTCTCACTCTCTCACCCTGCTCTCACTCTCTCACTCTGCTCTCACTCTCTCACTCTCTCTCACTCTCTCTCTCTCTCACTCTCTCACTCTGCTCTCTCTCTCTCTCTCTCTCTCTCTCTCTCTCTCTCTCTCTCTCTCACTCTCTCTCTCTCTCTCTCTCTCTCTCTCACTCTCTCTCTCACTCTCTCACCTGCTCTCACTCTCTCTCTCTCTCTTTCTCACTCTCACTCTGCTCTCACTCTCTCACTCTGCTCTCACTCTCTCACCTGCTCTCACTCTCTCACTCTCTCTTTCTCACTCTCACTCTGCTCTCACTCTCTCACCTGCTCTCACTCTCTCACTCTCTCTCTTTCTCACTCTCACTCTGCTCTCACTCTCTCACCTGCTCTCACTCTCTCTCTCTCTCTCACCTGCTCTCACTCTCTCACTCTCTTTCTTTCTCACTCTCACTCTGCTCTCTCTCTCTCACCTGCTCTCTCTCACTCTCTCTCTCTCTCTCTCTCACCTGCTCTCACTCTCTCTCACTCTCTCTCTCACTCTCTCACCTGCTCTCACTCTCTCTCTCTCTCTCTCTTTCTCACTCTCACTCTGCTCTCACTCTCTCACCTGCTCTCACTCTCTCACTCTCTCTCTTTCTCACTCTCACTCTGCTCTCACTCTCTCACCTGCTCTCTCTCTCTCTCTCTCTCACCTGCTCTCACTCTCTCTCTTTCTTTCTCACTCTCACTCTGCTCTCTCTCTCTCACCTGCTCTCTCTCACTCTCTCTCTCTCTCTCTCACCTGCTCTCACTCTCTCTCACTCTCTCTCTCACTCTCTCACCTGCTCTCACTCTCTCTCTCTCTCTCTCTTTCTCACTCTCACTCTGCTCTCACTCTCTCACCTGCTCTCACTCTCTCACTCTCTCTCTTTCTCACTCTCACTCTGCTCTCACTCTCTCACCTGCTCTCTCTCTCTCTCTCTCTCACCTGCTCTCACTCTCTCTCTCTCTTTCTCACTCTCACTCTGCTCTCACTCTCTCACCTGCTCTCACTCTCTCTCTCTCTCTCACCTGCTCTCACTCTCTCTCACTCTCTCTCTCACTCTCTCACCTGCTCTCACTCTCTCTCTCTCTCTCTCTTTCTCACTCTCACTCTGCTCTCACTCTCTCACCTGCTCTCACTCTCTCACTCTCTTTCTTTCTCACTCTCACTCTGCTCTCACTCTCTCACCTGCTCTCTCTCACTCTCTCTCTCACTCTCTCACCTGCTCTCACTCTCTCTCTCTCTCTCTTTCTCACTCTCACTCTGCTCTCACTCTCTCACCTGCTCTCTCTCTCTCTCTCTCTCTCACATGCTCTCACTCTCTCACTCTCTCTCTTTCTCTCTCTCTCACATTATGACAGAGTACTTACCTTGATGAGTGCGATGTCGTTGTCAAAGTTGTGCGTTCTGTAGTTGGGGTTTGTGTGTAGCTCCATGATGTCAAAGACCTGTTGTGTGTCCTCGGCCTCGCTCACAGAGTGCATCCCCAACACCACCTTCTTGTTGCTGGCTCTGGAACAGAAAACATCCTTTTAATGCCTTAAAAAGTCTGAATATAAGCAACAATAACGCGGTTCATGTTACATTCATAAAGTCAAATCTTTTTTGCTCTATGTACACTTTTTTAACATGCTTGCACACTTCCTGTTTGCACACGTCTTGTTTTCACACTTCCTGTTTGCACACTTCCTGTTTGCTAACTTCCTGTTTGCACACTTCCTGTTTGCTCACTTCCTGTTTGCACACTTCCTGTTTGCACTTCCTGAGTCATCATATTTATGCTAATTGTAACAAGTACATTTCTTCTTTGTGAGATTAATAAAGTCTGTTTTATCTTTTCTTATTTTAAATATTGGATCTAATTAAAACAGGTCACCCGCCTTTCAACTGCTGTGTCAGAAGCTATTTGTTTGGGACAGTTGTGTTCAGACACATGTCTGTGAAGGGCCTCAGCCGAGACGCTACAGCGAAGTATGTGAATAAAAAACATGGATTATGAGCTAAAAAGGGGGCAATGTTTTAATCCAGCACGTTAACCCAGACTACCCAGACTAAGCAGTGCACGGCCTGGTCGTTACTGTGATGAGAGACCTCTGGGAACAGCAGGTGCCACAGCTGTAGAGGGCCAATTCATGATGTTGTGTCCTTAGGCAAGACACTTCACCCAGTTTGCTTAGTGTGAGTCCGGAGCATGAGTGATGGTTCATTAGGACTAGTTTCTATATTAGTCTGAAAGTCTGGTTTATGGTTCTACTATGACAGTGAAGAGTCTGGTTTATGGTTCCACTATGACAGTGAAGAGTCTGGTTTATGGTTCCACTATGACAGTGAAGAGTCTGGTTTATGGTTCCACTATGACAGTGTAGAGTCTGGTTGATGGTTTCTGGACTATGAAAGTGTGAGTCTTGTGGTTGATGGTTCTATTGCTGCTGAACACTGACCCCTGTGGGAAGCAGTGCACCGCGGTCATGACCCACTGCTCTCGCACCAGGAAGCCCCCGCACTCGTGACTCCGCCCCCCGCCGACCACCTTCTGGATGGACGCCATGTACGGCCGAGAGTGCGGCGCAGCCTCACGGCCGCCGAGGATGGCGCCGCCTGAGAATAGAGGAAAACACGAAGCAAATATATATATTTCACTGAATCTATAAAAACATTAGGAACAGAAACATAACACAGAAGTTCTGAAATGGTTTTAAAATGCAGATAATAAAAGTATGTCTCATCAATAATGTATCAATAACACATTTGACCAAAACACTTACGTGATAATTAAAGCTGGGGTACCTATTTTCAAACCGCAAATAATGGAACATAAAAGCAAAGCATCTAAAAAGTTCCTGGTTCTATTGTTGCCATGGAAACTGTCCGCTCAAAATGTCAAATCACTTCTTTAGGAAAATGCAGAAAATAACTTTTTTTCTGATGAGATGGAGGAAGCATAATACACTTGGGCCTCCTGCGTGTCTTTAAGTGTTGAATTAATAAAACAAATTATGAAATAAAGCATAAGAAGTTAATGTTTTTAACCAGATGCATCAGAAATATTAAAATAGGAAACTTACTCTGTGAAATGAGAGCAAAGACACAAACTGCAGCCGTCGCCAACATCTCATATCCAACTGACCCAAAGCCAGTGTCAGCAGAGGACGCAGGAGCTGAAAGAGGAAGAGGAAGAGGAAGAGGAAGAGCCTGAGGATCCTGGGGCAATAACAGGAAACACACTTCTGCTGCTGATTCTATAATATTCATCTTTTAACTCCTTGTGTTCTGTGATGTCACAAAGTTTGTTTGTGTTGTTCTCACACAACAGTAAAGTAAACGGTTCTGTTCGACACAAATACACATAATCTGAATTCATCTTAATCTTAATCTCAAAAAGTCAATACAATGTTTGTGCTGAGCTTCAAATCTAATTTAAAGAAAAAGGTGTTGGATCCAATTCATCGAAATCAGTGTAAAATGTTATTGTGCGATTGTGTTATTGTGTGTTATTGTGTGTGATTGTGTTTTTGTGTGATTGTGTGATTGTGTGAGTGTGTGAGTGTGTGTGATTGTATTTTTGTGTGATTGTGTGAGTGTGTGTGATTGTGTTTTTGTGTGATTGTGTGAGTGTGTGAGTGTGTGTGTGTGTGATTGTGTTTTTGTGTGATTGTGTGAGTGTGTGAGTGTGTGTGTGTGTGATTGTGTTTTTGTGTGATTGTGTGAGTGTGTGTGATTGTGTGAGTGTGTGAGTGTGTGAGTGTGTGAGTGTGTGAGAGTGTGAGGGTGTGAGTGTGTGATTGTGTGAGTGTGTGAGTGTGTGAGAGTGTGAGGGTGTGAGTGTGTGAGTGTGTGATTGTGTGATTGTGTGAGTGTGTGAGAGTGTGAGGGTGTGAGTGTGTGATTGTGTGATTGTGTGAGTGTGTGAGAGTGTGAGGGTGTGAGTGTGTGAGTGTGTGAGAGTGTGATTGTGTGAGTGTGTGAGAGTGTGAGGGTGTGAGTGTGTGAGTGTGTGATTGTGTGATTGTGTGAGTGTGTGAGTGTGTGAGTGTGTGATTGTGTGTGTGTGAGAGTGTGAGGGTGTGAGTGTGTGATTGTGTGAGTGTGTGAGAGTGTGATTGTGTGATTGTGTGGTTGTGTGAGTGTATGATTGTGTGTCTGTGTGTGTGTGTGTGTGTGTGTGTGTGTGAGTGTGTGATTGTGTGAGTGTGTGATTGTGTGATTGTGTGAGTGTGTGAGTGTGTGATTGTGTGAGTGTGTGATTGTGTGGTTGTGTGAGTGTGTGATTGTGTGTCTGTGTGTGTGTGTGTGTGTGTGTGTGAGTGTGTGATTGTGTGAGTGTGTGATTGTGTGATTGTGTGAGTGTGTGAGTGTGTGAGTGTGTGATTGTGTGAGTGTGTGAGAGTGTGAGGGTGTGAGTGTGTGAGTGTGTGAGTGTGTGAGTGTATGAGAGTGTGAGTGTGTGAGTGTGTGAGTGTGTGATTGTGTGTGAGTGTGTGAGTGTGTGATTGTGTGAGTGTGTGAGTGTGTGATTGTGTGGTTGTGTGAGTGTGTGAGTGTGTGATTGTGTGTCTGTGTGTGTGTGTGTGTGATTGTGTGTGTGTATGGTTGTGTGAGTGTGTGTGTGTCTGTGTGTGTCTGTGTGTGTGTGTGTGTGTGTGTGTGTGTGATTGTGTGTCTGTGTGTGTGTGTGTGTGAGTGTGTGATTGTGTGTCTGTGTGTGTGTGTGTGTGTGTGTGTGATTGTGTGTGTGTATGGTTGTGTGAGTGTGTGTGTGTCTGTGTGTGTGTCTGTGTGTGTGTGTGTGTGTGTGTGTGTGTGTGTGTGTGATTGTGTGTGTGTCTGTGTGTGTGTCTGTGTGTGTGTGTGTGTGTGTGTGTGTGTGTGTGTGTGCGTGTGTGTGTGTCTGTGTGTGTGTGTGTGTGTGTGTGTGTGTGTGTGTCTGTGTGTGTGTGTGTGCACTTGTTTTCAACTCCTGGTGGGTTCCATAACCTGAGATTCCACTCACGTCATGGGGACTGGTTTTACGTGGTGGGGCCCGAACACCGGACCCCACTGGTCCAAGCTTAATAATCAATGGGTAATGCTTTTCTAACGGTCCTTATGCAGTCTCTGTAAAAATATGGAAAGGACCCCTGGAGGTTTACTTTCCTGAAAAAAGTGTGTTATGTGTCGGAACCCTGGTGGTGGGTTGCGGGATATCAAGGAGGGGCACACTGGGGCAATTTCAGTCCAGCAGGCTGGAGCCAATCATGGAGCAGCACAACAGAGGAAATCAGGTGTCAGGCTAGAAAAAGGTGCAAGTGTGTGGTTCATTAGGCTGCAAGAAATCACAGAGCAGCACACTGAAGCGCACGCTTACAAACCACTGGTAAGTGCTGACTACAAGTCATGACTTCAAATTGTTATATAGAATGATTACAAATTATTTGTTGTTTGTGCAGCTTAGTCAAGAGTCCCTAATTGATGAAGTCGACTCAGATTCTGACGATTTAACTGTCAAGAAGAAACCTGTAAAAAAGTATGGAAAAAGAAAAATCAAAAACACTTTTCTTCAAGACTCGGAAAGTGACGAACCAAAGGCAAATAAGATTGTTATCATGCAGCTGCAAAAGAAGAAAAATGGGGGGCGAGTATACAGCAAGAGACACTTCTGCCTCTACTGTTCAATGTCCTGCCACAAAATGTCCCGTCATTTGACTAGAAAACATGGAAATGAAAGTGACGTAGCCAGAGCATTGGCTCTACCTGTGAAATCTAAAGCACGTAAACTTCAGTTTGATTTGATCAGGAATAGTGGAAACCGTGAGCACAATTTTGAGGTTTTAAAGGCCGGCATTGGAACTTTAGTCCCAGCTAAACAGCCAAATTCCCCAGTTAAATCCAGTGAGTTTTTGCACTGTATAGACTGTGGGGCATTGCTTAAGCGAAAGTCGCTGTGGAGGCATGTGGCCAGGTGCCGGCTTTCACAGAAAGATGCCCAGGCTAAACCAGGCTAAACCAGGTAGAAGTAGGGTCCAGTCCCTCTGCTCCCTAGCCCAGCCTGTACCGGAGGGCATCAGCAAAAAGCTGTGGTCTTTAATTTGGGCAATGCATCAGGATGAGGTCACGGGTGTTGTCAAAGCAGAAAAGGGGATTCTGAGACTCGGAGAGCACCTGTACTTAAAACACGGGCATGATAAGACTAAGCATGATTACATTAGGCAGAAAATGAGAGAAGTCGGTAGGTTAATTAACGAAGCAAAAACTGCCGGGAAACTGAAAACAATTAAGGATTTCTTTATTCCTTCCAACTTTAACCATGTGATTGATGCAGTCAGGTCTGTGGCTGGATATGATGAGGAAACAAATCAATACAAGACTCCATCCTTGGCCCTCAAACTCGGCCATAGCCTCAGAAAGCTAGCAGATATTCTTGAATGTGACTCAAAAATGGAGCATTGTGTTGATGAACTATTTATTAAAAACCTCCAACGAAGCCGGCTGCTTTTTGAGAAGAGGTGGGACTGTCATGGTGTGGACTTTTTGGATTATTTTAACCTGGTTTTATTTACTTTTAGTTCTCTTGTATTTTGAGTTTTCCTGATTCCAGTGTGTCCTGTTGATTGTTAGCCCCGCCCTAATGTGATCCACCTGTGTCTCCTGTGTGTGTATATACCCTGTGCTTTTCCCCACTTGTTGTCCGTCCATTGTCTCTACCAAGTTTGTCTTGTCTAGTTTTTCAGTTCTGGATTTTTGTGCCTTTGTCTCTCTGGATTTCGATTTTTATTAAATTACATTTGATTTTCAGTCCTGCATTTTGAGTCCTCCATCATCTCAAGCTCGTGACAGAATGGACCAGCCACAAAAGGACTCAGCGGAATGCCCTTTTTCCACACCTGCTCCCAGTTTGTCATCCCATTCATCAGGTTTTTATTTTATTTTCGCCTCATCACCGCTGACCTCTCAACCTGTTTCTGGAACCACCGCCAGACATCAACCTTCGTCTGGGGTGGTCTTGTCCCTTTGTACCACCGCCGGGTATTCGTCTCCGTCCGGGGTGGTCTTCTGTCCCCCCCCCCTGACATGTTGAGAGGTCTACAGTGACGCTCTGGCCTGGATGGTGCTGTCTGTCTGGATTTTCTACCCATTTTGGCTGCTACCCAATGATGACCTCTCCTTCCCTTCACCCGTTGCCACCGCCAGACATGGATCTCCGTCTGGGGTGGTTCTGATCCTGTTGCTGCGTCACCGCCGGACATTCGTCTTCGTTCGGGGTGAGCCAGACCTTTTGTGGAAGGTCATCACTGGGTTCTAGTTCCTGCCCTCGATTCTGTCCATCGAACATTGCCTCTGGTCTGTGGTTGTTCCTACCTCTGGACTGCCCCCTCCACCCTCCCTGGCTCGTGTTTATTTTCTGGGGACATCTGGGAGCTGTCCCTTGGAGGGGGGGTACTGTCACGGTGTGGATTTTGTTATTTTGTACTTTGGTTTTATTTTGACATTTTTTCTCTGTGGTTTGGTTTTGAGTTTGATTTCTGTGCTGTTTCCCCTGTCTTGATTGTCTGCCCCGCCCTGATGTGTTTCACCTGTGTCCCTGTCTATAATTACCCTGTGCCCCTCTCCACATGTTGCTGGTCCATTGTTATGTCAATGTCCTGTTTCGTCATGTCAAGTTCTGTCTTTGTTCCTGGTTCTGTATTCTTGGATTTTGAGTTTAGTTTTCACCTGGACTTTTATTTTAATTAAATCATTATTTTTTGCATTCCTGCATTTTGAGTCCTCCATCATCTCAAGCTCGTGACAGGGACGTCTGTGTTTCTTCTGCTGCCCTACAGACCCTCCGGCAAGCCAAGTGGAACACTCCGGACCTGCTCCCTCTGACTGAGGACGTTAGAGCCATGCATGCACATATTGAGGTATGTCGACCTGAATATGTGCAAACCCTAATAAGTGAGCCAACGTCTAAGCATTGGTCTAAACTGGCAGTTTTGACTCTTTGTGAGGTCATCATTTTCAATCGAAGAAGGGAAGGTGAGGTTTCAAAGATGCCACTGACAGCCTTTACCTTAAGAAGTAAGACTGGGATCCATTCTGACATTGCTCTGGGACTGTCCCAACTTGAGAAAAAGCTGTGTCAGCATTTTCAACGCATTGAAATTAAAGGGAAAAGAAGTCGGAAAGTGCCGGTTCTTTTGACTCCTGAAATGATTGCTTCGATGGAGGTGCTGGTGGAGAACAGAAGGGCCTGTTCCATCTCTGACCATAACCCATACTTCTTTTCCCGCCCGGGCGCAGACACCCACATCAGGGGATCAGACTCCCTACGCCAGGTAGCCAAAGAATGTGGTGCGGTGCATCCAGAGATGCTATCCTCAACCAAACTTAGAAAGCACATAGCTACTATGTCTACAGTTCTCAATATGAAAGAGAATGAGATGGACATACTTGCCAACTTCCTCGGCCATGACATTCGCATCCACAGGCAATATTACAGACTACCAGAGGGGACACTGGAGCTGGCCAAAATCAGCAAAGTGTTGATGGCCATGGAGCAGGGAAGAGTGACGGAATTCGAAGGAAAGAGCCTCGACCAGATACAAATTGAGCCTGAAGGTAATTCTTGATATTATTAAAATATGTATGATTTTTTTCCCCTAAAGGCCACTTGTATTTTTATTTTCTGTGCGACAGGGAGAGCAGTAGAGATCCTCTCACAAACGGACGGGCTAAAAGAAACTTCAAGCGGAGAACCTTCAACCATTCATCCAGATGCAAGACTGGAAAGGTCCCTGGGAAGTCTCACTGCCTGGCCTGGCCTGGCCTGGCCTGCATTAATGCCTCACCAGATGACCTTAGACATCGGACATGGAGTGGCATTAAATTCTATGTCAAAAATAGAATCACTGCAATTCGAAAAAAAAAATCTAAAATAAAATTCCTTTAAAATAGTATTACTTAAAGTAGTCCCAGTAAAAAAAGATTATGTCTATGGGTCCCATTCTGAACGGCCCTGTCAAAGGGACCCACCAGGTAACAAACGTGTGTGTGTGTGTGTGTGATTGTGTGGTTGTGTGAGTGTGTGAGTGTGTGAGTGTGTGAGTGTGTGATTGTGTGATTGTGTGAGTGTGTGAGTGTGTGATTGTGTGAGTGTGTGAGTGTGTGATTGTGTGCGATTGTGTGAGTGTGTGAGTGTGTGAGTGTTGTTTTGGACCAGGACCGTCGCAGTGGGAGAGAACATTCAGAGTTTCGCTGAAAGGAGGTCTCAGGTTTGATTCCAGAGCCTGACTGAGCCTGGATGGGACACATGTGTGGTTAGGTTTCCTCCGGGTGCTCCGGTTTCTGCATCTGTGGAAGCTCGTACGTTTGTGAGTGAACTGTTGAAGGACGGCAGCAGCTCTGGGACCTCAGGGGCCATGACGCTGCAGGTCAGAGAGCAGATGGTACAGATCAGGAGCCACACATTTGTCGGTCTGCCCCAGGGCAGCTGTGGCTCCAGCTTTGTTTTTGGAATAAACCATGTCCACAGTGAATGAACAATGTTATGTAAAGCCTCTTTCAGAGTCTGAAAGTTCCTAAATACATTATTTTAATATTCCATAGTGATCAGTTGTGTATCACTGATCTCAGATGAACTCTGAAGGAGAAAAGCTTTAAATGTTTGTTACAGTCTTATAAAGCCTTATGTCATATGTTCCACTGACAGCTCCTATCAGTTCATCACAACAATGCCACTATTGTCGAAGACAAACCTCTATGAACCGGTCCCAGCTGTTGCCGTGGTAACCAGTACTCTCTGTGGCCCACCCAGGTGTGTGCTCCGCACGTGTGTGGTCTGGCACCAGCACCGACGTTATCCACATTATCAATCTCTGTTACTCTACCTCTCTCTCACGCTCTCACACTCTCTCTCTCTCTCTCTCTCTCACTCTCAATCTCTCTCTCACCCCTCACTGTCACTCACTCACCCCTCACTCTCTCTCTCTGTCTCTCTCTCTCTCCCCCCTCTCTCTCCTGTCTCTCTCTGTCTCTGACACAGTCTCTCTCTCTCTCCCTCCCTCTGCCACTGTCTCTCTCTCTCTCTCTCTCTCTCCCTCTGACACAGTCTCTCTCTCTCTCCCTCCCTCTGCCACTGTCTCTCTCTCTCTCTCTCTCTCTCTCCCTCTGACACAGTCTCTCTCTCTCTCTCTCCCTCTGACACAGTCTCTCTCTCTCTCTCTCTCTCTCCCTCTGACACAGTCTCTCTCTCTCTCTCTCCCTCTCTCTCTCTGCCACTGTCTCTCTCTCTCCTTCTGACACAGTCTCTCTCTCTCTCTCTCTCTCTCCCTCTGACACAGTCTCTCTCTCTCTCTCTCCCTCTCTCTCTCTGCCACTGTCTCTCTCTCTCCTTCTGACACAGTCTCTCTCTCTCTCTCTCTCTCTCCCTCTGACACAGTCTCTCTCTCTCTCTCTCCCTCTCTCTCTCTGCCACTGTCTCTCTCTCTCCTTCTGACACAGTCTCTCTCTCTCTCTCTCTCTCCTTCTGACACAGTCTCTCTCTCTCTCTCTCCCTCTGACACAGTCTCTCTCTCTCTCTCTCTCTCTCTCCCTCTGACACAGTCTCTCTCTCTCTCTCTCTCCTTCTGACACAGTCTCTCTCTCTCTCTCTCTCTCTCTCTCTCTCTCTCTCTCCTTCTGACACAGTCTCTCTCTCTCTCTCTCCTTCTGACACAGTCTCTCTCTCTCTCTCTCCTTCTGACACAGTCTCTCTCTCTCTCTCTCTCTCTCCCTCTGACACAGTCTCTCTCCTCTCTCTCTCTCTCCCTCTGACACAGTCTCTCTCTCTCTCTCTCCTTCTGACACAGTCTCTCTCTCTCTCTCTCTCTCTCTCTCTCCTTCTGACACAGTCTCTCTCTCTCTCTCTCTTCCTCTGACACAGTCTCTCTCTCTCTCTCTCTCTGCCACTGTCTCTCGTCCCTTGATTGCCCGATCATTCCCAGACAGTGAGTCAGTTGTGTCTGGCAGAGTTCTGTCCGTGCATCAATCACTCATTTCCTTCGACAGTTCGTAAAGTTTTCATTTTGTTTCTTCATCAAAAGAAACAATGAACAAACAACAGAAAGTGTTGTTGGAGCAAAGAGAGGTTTTAATCCACAAAACTATGTTATATTCTGAGAAAGACTCCATTATGGATAAAAACCTGTGACTCTCTGTCTCTTTGTGACTCTGTCTCAGGTCTGCAGGTCTGTAGGTCTCAAGTCTCAGGTCTGTAGGTCTGTAGGTCTCAGGTCTGTAGGTCTGCAGGTCTGCATGTCTCAGGTCTGTAGGTCTCAGGTCGCAGGTCTCAGGTCTACAGGTCTCAGGTCTGCAGGTCTCAGGTCTGCATGTCTCAGGTCTGTAGGTCTCAGGTCGCAGGTCTCAGGTCTGCAGGTCTCAGGTCTGCAGGTCTCAGGTCTGCAAGTCTCAGGTCTGCAGGTCTCAGGTCTGCAAGTCTCAGGTCTCAGGTCTCAGGTCTGCAGGTCTCAGGTCTGCAAGTCTCAGGTCTCATGTCTCAAGTCTGCAGGTCCCAGATCTCAGGTCTCAGGTCTGCAGGTCTCAAGTCTGCAAGTCTCAGGTCTCAGGTCTGCAGGTCTCAAGTCTGCAAGTCTCAGGTCTCAGGTATGCAGGTCTCAGGTCTGCAGGTCTCAGGTCTGCAAGTCTCAGGTCTCAGGTCTCAGATCTGCAGGTCTGCAGGTCTCAGGTCTCAGGTCTGCAGGTCTCAGGTCTCTCCGAGGAAGAGGAGTAAACAGGTGTAGTGTGTTCTCGGTGAGAGCGTCTCCTCTCAGCGGCCTCCACATCCACACTGCTCTTTACTGTAATCTGCTGTAATCTCTCTGATCCTTGGGATTACACATCTCCACAGTCTCACACAGACCAAACACTTCAGACATTTAGGAAAATGCATCATGGGAAAAATTCATAATAAGCAGCGGCAGTAGAGAGAAAAGTGCTGCCTTATCACATGTATGACATTTATCAACATGTGTGACATTTATCAACATGTATGACATTTATCACATGTATGACATTTATCACATGTATGACATTTATCAACATGTGTGACATTTATCACATGTATGACATTTATCTACATGTGTGACATTTATCAACATGTATGACATTTATCACATGTATGACATTTATCACATGTGTGACATTTATCACCATGTATGACATTTATCACATGTATGACATTTATCACATGTATGACATTTATCACATGTATGACATTTATCACATGTATAACATTTATCACATGTATGACATTTATCAACATGTATGACATTTATCACATGTATGACATTTATCAACATGTATGACATTTATCAACATGTGTGACATTTATCACATGTGTGACATTTATCACATGTATAACATTTATCACATGTATGACATTTATCAACATGTATGACATTTATCACATGTATGACATTTATCAACATGTATGACATTTATCAACATGTGTGACATTTATCACATGTATGACATTTATCAACACATGTTTTATATTCTTCATGTGTGTTAACTGTTGAGTCTCTGATCTGTGTTGGTGATGTCAATGGTTTTGTGAAGTCTCTGAGACGATGCTGTTGTGATTTAGGGAAATACAAGAATAAATTGTATTGTAGTGTAAAATATCCTTTTTGGAGAAACAATGAAAACTTTTACTGACAAAATAAAAAAAACATATTCCTACGCCTGAAATCTGCTGAAACACCACAGTATGTGCTGTCTCATACACTCGCTGGAATCCTCTCTAATCCAACTGTTTGCTGGAGTCTTTCAGATATTTGAATAACCGAGTGTGAGATCTGCCAAATTTCACATTAAAAAAAAAGCAAGTTTGAATTTGCCTCTGACTTTAGAAAAGTGTTTCCTCAGAGTCTGTGGGACTGGGGCCTGCTGCTTGTGTGAGTGCGTCAGACTCTGGGTTTCCCAGGACTAGACTCAAGCCGCTAATGCTAACATGGACTTTAGGATGACGGTGGTCTTGAGGGGACTGGGCGGGAGATTCCAGGTTTCCCACAATGCTCCTTGATCCACCTGATTCGACCATAAGCTGCCTTTTGTCCCCATATCTGCCCAACATTTATCATGTTTATTCATCAGGGAAAGAGAGAAGCACAGGAATGAAAGCATATTCTGTTCTGTATGGACTCAAACATTAGTATTGATCCTTCAGACGTCAGTCTGATGGTGTCAAAGGCACATGGTCCTTGGAACATGAGCCGATGGTGCTTCACAGACAGGCCGATGGTGCTTCACAGACAGGCCGATGGTGCTTTACAGACAGGCCGATGGTGCTTTACAGACAGGCCGATGGTGCTTTACAGACAGGCCGATGGTGCTTCACAGACAGGCCGATGGTGCCGATGGTGCTTCACAGACAGGCCGATGGTGCTTCACAGACAGGCCGATGGTGCTTCACAGACAGGCCGATGGTGCTTTACAGACAGGCCGATGGTGCTTTACAGACAGGCCGATGGTGCTTTACAGACAGGCCGATGGTGCTTCACAGACAGGCCGATGGTGCTTCACAGACAGGCCGATGGTGCTTCACAGACAGGCCGATGGTGCCGATGGTGCTTCACAGACAGGCCGATGGTGCTTCACAGACAGGCCGATGGTGCTTTACAGACAGGCCGATGGTGCTTTACAGACAGGCCGATGGTGCTTCACAGACAGGCCGATGGTGCTTCACAGACAGGCCGATGGTGCCGATGGTGCTTCACAGACAGGCCGATGGTGCTTCACAGACAGGCCTGAACTGCAGCATTTCAGTTTGATTTAAAACAACAGTATTTCTTGTGAAGTGGGAGATGATGGTTGTGCTCCACTTCACAAACTAAAGAAACACTTTTTACACTAAAAATATTCACCACTCAAAGTGCATCTAATTCGTTGAATTTTATTGATGTTTGCAGTTTTGTTCCAGGACTGGACCAGGACAGGACCAGGACAGGACCAGGACAACATGCAAGCTCCACTCAGAAAGGCCCTGTTTCGGCCAGGATTCGAAACCAGAACCTTCTTGCTGAGAGGCGAGAGTACTAACCACTCAGCCACCGTGCCGCTCATGTCGTCTGGTCACGTGTCCGTTTTAATGAGATTTCTTTGAAGTGGTCATGTAGATGTGCAGCAGGTGTAGGGTCAGAGAGGCGCTGACCCGTCCCACGGCTTCACACTGGATTAGGAGTCACTCAGCGGGACACACACACACCGGGACACACACCGGGACACACACACACATACTAACAGAAACACACACACAGACACACATACACCAGGATTCACACAGGGACACACACAGGGACACACACACACAGACACACACCAGGATTCACACAGGGACACACACACCGGGACACACACACACACACACACGCACACACACACCAGGATTCACACAGGGATACACACACCGGGACACACACACACGCACACCAGGATTCACACAGGGATACACACCGGGACACACACACACACGCACACACTCACACACACACACACTGGATTAGGAGTCACTCGACTGTGACCTTTGATGGTCTTTGGTTCTGACTGTGACATTTCCTTTTACCTAATGATAAAAAGTGTTTTAAGAATACGTTATTCAGTTGATCCATATTCAAAAGGTGATAAAACAATAAAACATTTCACTGAACTCTCGTGACTTCATCAACTCCTGAGAACAAAAACAAAATCCAGGATACAGAACGTAAAACTCAGACCAACAACAAGAAAAACATGGGAGAGGAGCACAGGGTTTAAATACACACAGACACACAAAGGGACACACACAAGGACACACACAAGGACACACACATACACACACACAGACACTCACTCAGACACACACACACGTTTGTTACCTGGTGGGTCCCTTTGACAGGGCCGTTCAGAATGGGACCCATAGACATAATCTTTTTTACTGGGACTACTTCAAGTAATACAAAACAGTCAATAGAAACCAAACAACTATTTTAAAGGAATTTTATTTTAGATTTTTTTTTCGAATTGCAGTGATTCTATTTTTGACATAAAATTTAATGCCACTCCATGTCCGATGTCTAAGGTCATCTGGTGAGGCATTAATGCAGGCCAGGCCAGGCCAGGCCAGGCAGTGAGACTTCCCAGGGACCTTTCCAGTCTGTATGAAAGGTGTCATGGTCTTCTCCACAGCCTTCACCTCAGATGCAGACCATGGCTTTCTCTAACGTTCTAGGGAGAGAAATAAAAATATATTAGCAATATACACTCCCAGGGTTAGGACCAAGCAGCCTGGCTGTAATCCCCCACCTGGTACACTTACCAGAAGGGGCACTGCCACTACCATGGGGTGCATCTGGATGAATGGTTGAAGGTTCTCCGCTTGAAGTTTCTTTTAGCCCGTCCGTTTGTGAGAGGATCTCTACTGCTCTCCCTGTCGCACAGAAAATAAAAATACAAGTGGCCTTTAGGGGAAAAAAATCATACATATTTTAATAATATCAAGAATTACCTTCAGGCTCAATTTGTATCTGGTCGAGGCTCTTTCCTTCGAATTCCGTCACTCTTCCCTGCTCCATGGCCATCAACACTTTGCTGATTTTGGCCAGCTCCAGTGTCCCCTCTGGTAGTCTGTAATATTGCCTGTGGATGCGAATGTCATGGCCGAGGAAGTTGGCAAGTATGTCCATCTCATTCTCTTTCATATTGAGAACTGTAGACATAGTAGCTATGTGCTTTCTAAGTTTGGTTGAGGATAGCATCTCTGGATGCACCGCACCACATTCTTTGGCTACCTGGCGTAGGGAGTCTGATCCCCTGATGTGGGTGTCTGCGCCCGGGCGGGAAAAGAAGTATGGGTTATGGTCAGAGATGGAACAGGCCCTTCTGTTCTCCACCAGCACCTCCATCGAAGCAATCATTTCAGGAGTCAAAAGAACCGGCACTTTCCGACTTCTTTTCCCTTTAATTTCAATGCGTTGAAAATGCTGACACAGCTTTTTCTCAAGTTGGGACAGTCCCAGAGCAATGTCAGAATGGATCCCAGTCTTACTTCTTAAGGTAAAGGCTGTCAGTGGCATCTTTGAAACCTCACCTTCCCTTCTTCGATTGAAAATGATGACCTCACAAAGAGTCAAAACTGCCAGTTTAGACCAATGCTTAGACGTTGGCTCACTTATTAGGGTTTGCACATATTCAGGTCGACATACCTCAATATGTGCATGCATGGCTCTAACGTCCTCAGTCAGAGGGAGCAGGTCCGGAGTGTTCCACTTGGCTTGCCGGAGGGTCTGTAGGGCAGCAGAAGAAACACAGACGTCCCTGTCACGAGCTTGAGATGATGGAGGACTCAAAATGCAGGAATGCAAAAAATAATGATTTAATTAAAATAAAAGTCCAGGTGAAAACTAAACTCAAAATCCAAGAATACAGAACCAGGAACAAAGACAGAACTTGACATGACGAAACAGGACATTGACATAACAATGGACCAGCAACATGTGGAGAGGGGCACAGGGTAATTATAGACAGGGACACAGGTGAAACACATCAGGGCGGGGCAGACAATCAAGACAGGGGAAACAGCACAGAAATCAAACTCAAAACCAAACCACAGAGAAAAAATGTCAAAATAAAACCAAAGTACAAAATAACAAAATCCACACCGTGACAGTACCCCCCCTCCAAGGGACAGCTCCCAGATGTCCCCAGAAAATAAACACGAGCCAGGGAGGGTGGAGGGGGCAGTCCAGAGGTAGGAACAACCACAGACCAGAGGCAATGTTCGATGGACAGAATCGAGGGCAGGAACTAGAACCCAGTGATGACCTTCCACAAAAGGTCTGGCTCACCCCGAACGAAGACGAATGTCCGGCGGTGACGCAGCAACAGGATCAGAACCACCCCAGACGGAGATCCATGTCTGGCGGTGGCAACGGGTGAAGGGAAGGAGAGGTCATCATTGGGTAGCAGCCAAAATGGGTAGAAAATCCAGACAGACAGCACCATCCAGGCCAGAGCGTCACTGTAGACCTCTCAACATGTCAGGGGGGGGGGACAGAAGACCACCCCGGACGGAGACGAATACCCGGCGGTGGTACAAAGGGACAAGACCACCCCAGACGAAGGTTGATGTCTGGCGGTGGTTCCAGAAACAGGTTGAGAGGTCAGCGGTGATGAGGCGAAAATAAAATAAAAACCTGATGAATGGGATGACAAACTGGGAGCAGGTGTGGAAAAAGGGCATTCCGCTGAGTCCTTTTGTGGCTGGTCCATTCTGTCACGAGCTTGAGATGATGGAGGACTCAAAATGCAGGACTGAAAATCAAATGTAATTTAATAAAAATCGAAATCCAGAGAGACAAAGGCACAAAAATCCAGAACTGAAAAACTAGACAAGACAAACTTGGTAGAGACAATGGACGGACAACAAGTGGGGAAAAGCACAGGGTATATACACACACAGGAGACACAGGTGGATCACATTAGGGCGGGGCTAACAATCAACAGGACACACTGGAATCAGGAAAACTCAAAATACAAGAGAACTAAAAGTAAATAAAACCAGGTTAAAATAATCCAAAAAGTCCACACCATGACAGTCCCACCTCTTCTCAAAAAGCAGCCGGCTTCGTTGGAGGTTTTTAATAAATAGTTCATCAACACAATGCTCCATTTTTGAGTCACATTCAAGAATATCTGCTTTCTGAGGCTATGGCCGAGTTTGAGGGCCAAGGATGGAGTCTTGTATTGATTTGTTTCCTCATCATATCCAGCCACAGACCTGACTGCATCAATCACATGGTTAAAGTTGGAAGGAATAAAGAAATCCTTAATTGTTTTCAGTTTCCCGGCAGTTTTTGCTTCGTTAATTAACCTACCGACTTCTCTCATTTTTCTGCCTAATGTAATCATGCTTAGTCTTATCATGCCCGTGTTTTAAGTACAGGTGCTCTCCGAGTCTCAGAATCCCCTTTTCTGCTTTGACAACACCCGTGACCTCATCCTGATGCATTGCCCAAATTAAAGACCACAGCTTTTTGCTGATGCCCTCCGGTACAGGCTGGGCTAGGGAGCAGAGGGACTGGACCCTACTTCTACCTGGTTTAGCCTGGTTTAGCCTGGGCATCTTTCTGTGAAAGCCGGCACCTGGCCACATGCCTCCACAGCGACTTTCGCTTAAGCAATGCCCCACAGTCTATACAGTGCAAAAACTCACTGGATTTAACTGGGGAATTTGGCTGTTTAGCTGGGACTAAAGTTCCAATGCCGGCCTTTAAAACCTCAAAATTGTGCTCACGGTTTCCACATTCCTGATCAAATCAAACTGAAGTTTACGTGCTTTAGATTTCACAGGTAGAGCCAATGCTCTGGCTACGTCACTTTCATTTCCATGTTTTCTAGTCAAATGACGGGACATTTTGTGGCAGGACATTGAACAGTAGAGGCAGAAGTGTCTCTTGCTGTATACTCGCCCCCCATTTTTCTTCTTTTGCAGCTGCATGATAACAATCTTATTTGCCTTTGGTTCGTCACTTTCCGAGTCTTGAAGAAAAGTGTTTTTGATTTTTCTTTTTCCATACTTTTTTACAGGTTTCTTCTTGACAGTTAAATCGTCAGAATCTGAGTCGACTTCATCAATTAGGGACTCTTGACTAAGCTGCACAAACAACAAATAATTTGTAATCATTCTATATAACAATTTGAAGTCATGACTTGTAGTCAGCACTTACCAGTGGTTTGTAAGCGTGCGCTTCAGTGTGCTGCTCTGTGATTGGCTGCAGCCTAATGAACCACACAC